AGTTTCCCTTTGAATATTCCTTAAATTTTATAAATACCTTTGAGTATTTCGAAAGCCCCATCAAAACGGTAACAATATATTAATTCAAAATCTGTATAACTTTTTATAGTGATATGCTAAAGTTATTACACAAGAAAATAAATGCTTTGTTAAAAGAGTGTAGAGAGAAGTTTGTACTTGACTACCTACTCTATATAAAGTGCAAACTTTACTTTTTTGAATGATCAAAACTATGTGATAACTAATTAGATATGATAATTAAGAATTATTATTTAAAGGACTTGTTCATATCTAATTATAATAACTATAATATATGTTACTTTTATATATATATTCAAACTATATTTTATTAGATATACAAATTCATATTCACTAATTCCATTAGTTTTAGTGTTTACTTATTTGTTTACTCATTTATTTAGTTATTCATTTGTTTATTTACTTGTTTACTTGTTTGCTCACTTGTTTACTTACTTCACATAATTTGACTTTTATCCAATAAGATATGAAATATATATAATTTAATAATATAAAATGTTATAATAAAAGATCATTATATAATAATATAGTTATATTTCCTTTATAATCACTATTATTATTAAATAATTTTTATAATATATATTAATTATAATAAAAAACTTCTTTATAGTTATTATTTAATTTGAATAATAATATATCTAAATAATAGATCAATATTTATAATATAATAAATAAATATGTATATATATATAAATATATATATATAAATATATATAAATATATGTACAAATGTATAAATATATATATATATCAAATAAATATATACATATTAAAAATAATTAGTTAATAAATAATTGATTAATAAATAGTAACTATAGAAAGATTTTTTTATTAATAAAAATTTAGCTAATATACAAATGATAATTATAGAGAGATTTTTACAATATTATCTTTACATTTTAAAATTAAAGCTGTAAATAATACTAAGAAATATTTTATAATAATTAAAGTACTTTGTAAAGAAATTTATATATATAATAAATAATATTTAAATATTATATATCAAAAATAACTGAATTTTTTAATACTAAATATCATAAATTATTTCTTTTTCATTTTATTATATCTAAAATTATTAAAAATTCAAATATTCATTTAGTATTAAATGAAACTAATCAAGTAGCAACAACAGCTTGTATTCAAAATATTAAAAATTTCTCAAATAGATAGAGTATTAGAATTATAAATAACATAAATTATTATTATTAAAATGATTATTTTAAATGATATTCTTAAGAAAAAAGCAAAAATTTTTGCTATAGAATTTGAAATTATTGGTATTATTCTTGGCTAACAAGATTTAAAAAAAGAATAGGTATTTATTGACAAAACTTTAAGATAAAGCAACTAATATATCAATAAAAATATTACTAATTAAAAGAAAATGATTACAAAAAATATTAAGTTTATATTCACTTAATAATGCTAATGAAACTAAACTATTTTTTCATATAATATCTAATAAAACTTTAATATTTGATCCAGTTTTTGAACTAAAAAAGTAATATTATATTTTATATATATAATATATTTATATATTTAATTATAATTACTTAATTAATAATTACTTTAAGGATAAAACTCAAATTACTATTTTGCTTATAACTAATATATTTGGAATAAATAAATTTAAATCTCTTATTATTGATAAATCTTTGAAATCACATGCATTTTCTGGAATCAATATTTTAACTCTTTCTGTAATATACAAAGCAAATTCTAAAATCTAAATAAGAAATAATATTTTTAATAATTAATTACAATATCTTGATACTAATTTTCAAATTCAATAATGATATATAATAATACTTGTAAATAATATACCTAGTCACAAATTTGTTAAATTAACTAATTATAAAAATGAAAATAAAGAATTAGATTCAGAATTTTCTGAGATTGAATCTATTTTATCACAAAATTTATCTAATAATAAAGGTGAGAATGAGAATAAAAATGAAAATGATAATAATCATAATAATAATTATTAAATATTTAAGTTGATTAATATAATTAAATTATAATAATTTTAATTAGAATTATCATAATTTTAGTTAGAATTATTATAATTTTAATTAAAATTATTATAATTTTAATTTTAATGTTAATTAGCATAAAATCTCTTTATAGATACATCCATTTATAGTTACTCAATTTGGTTTTTTCAACAGTGATGAGTATAAAGAGATTTGATTATATAATAATATGCAAGCTTTGATATATATAATTAAGAATGAGAGATAAAAATTATTTGTTAAAAGATTTTTGTTAAAAAATATTTTTATTTCTTCAGTTATTTCAAAAATTAAATGCTCTCTATATAAGCACAAAATTTTTATAGTTATACACATTTAAAACCAATTAATATAGAGCTTATGAAAAAATACTTTTATATAGACATAATTTGATATAATTACACTTTTTTTTGGATTCCTGATGGTGTTATTATATCAAAATGTGACTGTATCTTAATTAGAAAATTTTAGAATATTAGAAACAAGATTTATTAATATCATAAAGCATAACAATATAATAATATTTTGTGAAATTTTGTGTCAAATATAATGAATTAGAATTTTTAACAATTAAAATAGAATAAAAAATTATTTAAAAATATTTTTAATAAGAAATTTTGAAAAAAATTTTATGAAAATATATTTTGTAATATAAAAAATATATTTATAATTTAAAAAAAAATTTAGTTCATTTTTATTTCAAAAAAGACTTTATTTTAATAAATTTTTTTAATAAAACATAGTAAATATAGTAAAAATGAGATTTTTACTATGTTTTATTAAAAAATTATCAAAATAAAGTCTTTTTTGAATGATATTTATTAAATAAAAATGAACAAAAAATTTTTTTAAATTTTATAAAATTCTTTTCAAAATTTATAATTTATCTATAAATATATCTTAGTTTTAGATAGCAAACAAGAAATTTGGTATTTATTTTTTTTTTAATTTAATCTTATTGGCTAGAATAGCTAGCATTTTATATAACCTCTCATTTAATTGCAAAGTTATTGTGTCTTATAATCTCTCATTTTAATTATGAAGTTATATTTCTTGTATATGATCTCTCATCTTAACTGCAAAGTCATAGTCGTATAATTGAATTAATAAACAAATAATATTTTACTTGTCTATAAATATATATAAGACTTGAACACTATTGCATTTGAAGTATTTCTGATCTCATTAATAATTCCGCAATTCAACTTTTTCATCCACCAATAACAACAATAATCAATCCGACAACTTTTCTTCCAACTTTTCCACATCACGAATCGGCAACCCACAAGTGAAATTCTCGCAAATATGCACCGAGGGAATCCGTTCTTTATTATCACTAGCATCGATGGCCTGTAAAAGATATTTGACCGAATCGTTCTTTTGCGCGATTACAGAAGAGTCGACGCGATCGGGAGACGGGGTAAAAAGTAATGCACGATTGGGAATATAGCGGTGGCGTATAACATTGAGGAAGTTGACGACTGTTGGGTTTTGAATGTCGCCGAGGAAAACAATCTAAATGTGAAACAAGGCGGATTTAGCTATTTATTAATGGTTTTTTGCATTGGTATGATTGGAGTTGATTAACAAATTGTGCTTTTGATGCTCACTTGTTTGATGTTCTTTACATATAACATCACACTGGAGACCAATGACGGCATGGAGTAAGGATGTTTTTGCAAATTGTCACCGTATGTTTGAAGAGTTGCTTCAGCTTTTGTATGGTAATCGGGATTTTGGGTAAAAGCGTGTAAGCGAATTAGATTGCTTACAGCCACCGAATTTCTAAGAAAACGTATTTTAAATTATTAAGATTTTCTTTAATAATAATTATCAACGAAAAAGACTTACGCCGAAGGTTCTGCGCCATCATGATCTTTACAAGTCAAAGTAAAAAGATTAAAATGACTGACAATATCAGATTAAACAATATCGTAAAAATCATTCATTACCATCTTTCATTCTTAACAAGATATCCTTATTTGTTTCTGGAACGTTAAAGTATCCGCCGGAATTTTGGTCGTAGAAAAGTTCGTTTTGAGTCTCTTGCAAGTCAATGGCCCATTTCAGATAGTTTTCGTCAAAGGAACATTCATAGAGATCGATTAGACCTGTAATGCAGAGGATATATTCGGTTGACCGAAACAAAAAAATCAATTATAACTCAATTAAAAAAAAAAAACTTGATAATTTACCTTGAATTAGAAAACTAAAATTTAGAAGAATAATAAATTTGATAAATATTTTTCAATAATTATTGGTTTAAGAATATTCAAGTCAATACCTATAATCATCCGAGAAACCATTTGTATTTCCAGGCCCCTCGCGGAAGCTTCGTAATAACTGATTTCTACCAGTATCATACATCCTTTCTTTCAAGAATTTTGCCGCATTTTCAGCCAGTGATAAATATTCTTTCGTGCCTAAAGCTTCATACGCTCGTGCAAGGGCAGATATCATGAGACCTAGATTGTTACTGAAGTTATAAAAAGGCATGTGATAATTTTGGATGGCTAGAATCACTTGATTTATTTTTATTTACCATTCCACGCAGTAAGAATTTTATCATCACGATGAGGTTTTGGACGTTTCTCTGCCCGATGTTTAGCTAGTTTTTCTTTAGAACGTTTTAGAATTTGGTCCAGTGCATCAAGTGAAAGACTAAACTCTTTAGCCGTTTCTTCAAGAGTATATCTTTCAATCAACACATTCTGTTAAATCAATAAAAAAAATAATTATTTAAATATCCTTCCCAAAAGATCATTATAATCTGAATTATGATCAACAATACTTTATTTATCAGCTCGCCCTGAATATCTTTTTCTCTTGGTACATTCCCTTTTTCCTCAACCCCAAAATGATAACAGAAAACAATCGAATCTTCGCCAAGAATCTGATCCAATTCTGATTTTTCCCATGCTGCAAACGCACCCTCTAAATTTAGTTACAAGGTAATAGAAATAAAAGATTAATGACTATCCGTTTAACAAAAACGAAGATTAACTTAGGTGTTTGTTAGGATTTTCCTTACCGAGTTTATGTGGTGCACCCTCGTGAGGATAAGAATCGGCATCTTCGGCAGAGTAGAATCCACCACCTACTGGATCCCTCAAGTCGCGTACAACATATTTGATTATGTCCCGTGCGATCTGTTTGTTAATTTATTTAAGCTGATTGGTATTGACAATAGTCGGGGTCAATCAATCAAATACATACCTCTGCAAAATAATCTTCTTTGGTAAGTAGAAATACTTCGATGTATGTTGCGAGAAGTTGTGCTTGATCATAAAGCTTTTATTTTCGATATTAGTCGTTTTCGTGAGACAAAAAGTAATTAGAAAAATGAATAGTAAAATAGATGAGAATTTAAAGGGTTTTATGCTTATACCATTTTCTCAAAATGAGGAACGTGCCAGTAGCGATCAGTTGAATAGCTGGCAATGTAATAATTTTAATGATTAAATGAATAAATATTTTATGTTTTGAATTTGTACAAAAAATTGTCACCGATGAAATCCGTTTCCAACATGATCTAAAGAAAAAAAATTACAGATCAAATAAGTGTAAAAATCAACTGATAATAATTGTAGAGATAGTTGCTAATCGAAAAGAATAAATTTACCATGAATTCCGCCTCTGGCAATTTTCTGTTAAAGACATAATAAAGTACAATTAACTTTCACATATTAACAAAAAACTATTAAATATCAACGCATACCACTAAAGTGAATTTAACCATCTCCAAAGCTTTCTGTTGGTTCGCAATGGCTTGCTGAAGTTTCTGAATACAATCACTCTTTTCAAGACAACCTTTAAAATCGATTCCTAACTGATTGCCCTTGGCGTGAATTTGCGAAATCGATAAATTTGATAACGATTCGCTCCCCAACTCATGGTGGGTATAGTAATAATATCGGAGAAGAAAATGAAATTGGACGGGTGTTGGAAATTTTGGCTCGCCTTTTTTTTGTAATGGTAAGTAAGCAATCATAAGTTTATTAAGAATGGAACACGATCAATGAAAAGAAACAAATAAATTAAAGAATCTAAGATTACCTACCTCCAAATCCACCTTCTTTCGAATCAAACGCGTTTACAAAATATTTGTAGCATTTATGTGCTATATCCATATTAACTGCATCTTTACTTCTTCCGTCGTCGTTGAGCTTTAAATATAGAAAAACGAAATCAATAAATGATGCATGTACAGAAATAAACGGTCGAAAATATAGTAATCACCCCGGTAGCATTGCGTAACATATCCATCACGTCCATTCCAGATTTTTTGAGTTTCTCCGGGTCTTCTTTCCATCTTTATTATTATTATTATTAAAAAAGTAATTGACCAAGCAACTCAATTTATGTAAATAACTTACAATGACGCGATCCGCTTCAACAATGTGGGAAATCCTGGTCTATTATTATATATAATCAAAAGTCGGAGTCTGGCTAAAGAAATCTGTTAAATAGTTGCATTTTGATTCAATACGTACCTGCCAAATTGATCTCTAGGCGGAAAGTAAGTCCCTCCGTAAATTGCTTTACCAAAAAGCATCGTTATTATTAAATTTATACAGAATTTACTAATTTTTGGTAATTTGTGTAAAAATACTTACGATACAAATCCGGCTTTATAAAATGATAGACATCAAACACAAATGAAAAAAAAATATTTATTTTGATGAGTTCAACATAAATCTGAGGATGAAAAAATCTATTACCGTCAGGAAAACTGACATAGGCCATCCGCCTCCGCCTGTTGTTGCTTGAACAAAGGTCTATACATTTATATATTTTTTATTACTTTAATGGTATTTAGGTTTATAAAGGAGAATACTAAATATGCAAGTGTGTAGTTTGGATAGATACCATGTACGTCCGATCAACATCAGGTTGTACTTCTCTATAATTAGATACGCGGAAATTCATTAGCAAAAATGAAAAACAAATCATTCGATAGATTGCTTATTGACTTATACCTATCGACTGGAATGACGTTTTATTTATTGAGGATAATTTAAATATTAGTAAAATTTAAATATTAGTAAATTGAAATTTTTGCTTCCGACTCCTCATATAGCAACACATTCGACTTCAATTCGAATTAGATTCGAACTGAATCTGTTGAACTTTATCCAAATTTGCATAACATTATTTACCCTTAACATTGACAAAATTTTCATTCATGACCTTTGCAATTTCTTCATTTTCGAAAGATTCATGAGCCTAATTTAGTTTGAATGCAATACGATAATTATTATAAGAGAAAAGTTACAGGTTAATTACTCTACTTACCATTACATGGCACCAACTTCAAAAAATTTAAGAAATGCACAATAAATTAATTCCGACCAAAGTAATAACCGCAAAGTCATATGATCCGACGATCCATTAAAAACTCACTGGCATGTACTGTATCCAACACTTAGAAATATCGGTTTCTTCTCTTCACGAGCTTTCTTGAAGGCTTCTTCTCCCCACGGGTACCAATCCACTACATTAAATAAAGCAGCGTTTTATATAAGTAACATGTGAAACTTTTTACCAGAATAGAGATTTTTTTCTTCTTACCTGGATTATCTGCGTGTTGCTAGGAGGAAATCAAAGTTAAAAGTGTGTTAGTAAACCATTTCAAGAATGCATACTAATGGAAAGTTCTAAAAAAAACCCTTCCTTCTTAAAAGAAATACATAATTCCCTTATATTAACATAAACGTACCAGCAAATACGGGCTTTTCTCTTTTGCCAAGCGGTTAGTATGGTGTTGGGCAGAAGTAGAAGAGGAGGCCATTCTGAATACTGGACTATTATTGAACAGTCGTCGTGTATAATTGGTCTGACGAAAAAGAATATTATTGTTGTCGTGGAATAAGGTTTTTCTGGACACTAGTTCTTTTCTTATTATTAGGTGGGAGGAAGAAACTAGTTGAACAACTCTCACAATTCTCGAAAAGACCAAAGTCATAGATATAATGGTAATGCAGTGGCGCGTATATATCGATATTATTCGTAAAATTTCCTATACGTCATTGGTGGTGACTCATCTTAGTCAACCGAATTGTGACGTTATCAAAAGCTGGGAACGAATTTTTCGAAGAGGGTTAGGCTTTATTTTGCCTTCTTTACTTACATCGTCACTCACCGCAGACTGATATTATTAGCTTCAATTACAAGAAGCTATTATTCTAATATATACCTTGTTGAAAATCGTGAGAGAAATCTGTTGTTTAGCATACTAACTAACCAATACTGCTGGTAACAAATAAAATCAATTTGAGAAATCGTTCTTAAACGCTATTACTCAAATCTTTCTAAAAACAACGAGGTCTTAGAGCCACCGCAACTCCTCAAAACAACTAAACCTTTCAAAAAACAAAATATTGCGCACATCTTTGCTCCTTGATTAATACTTGACTCTTAATTAACTTATTCCCTTACCACCATCTTGATTAATTAATTAAATCCAATCTTATTTTAACTTATTTTAATTTAATTTAATTTATTTTATTTTTATTAGTTTTTTATTATAACTTATAATTTTATATATATATTTTTTGCCCATCATGGAGCCTATCTTTTTGTTCTAAATGGAGAGCTTAATATCTAATTTTATAAATTTATTGTTGTTATTCACTAGTTCTCTGGGAACTGATACTCTCTGGTTTTTCTACAACCATCATCATTTTGTTTTTCGAGCGTTTCCGATTTTTGTTCGGAGAGCTCGACAAAAATTCTCTTTATCACTTTCATCAACATCTTCATCAAGTAATAATCGCAATACCAGTAATAATCTATATTATCAACACACTTTTTATCCACCAGATTTTTTGTATCCTTTATTGTTAGCTTTATCACTTTCTACTATTATCGCATCAAGCAATTGGAATTATCTGTTACTATTCTCACCGCGTCAACCACACAATTCTCGTATCAACAACAACAATAATCATAATCAACACCAAAGAACTGTTACCATCACCGGCAATAACATCATCAACATAGCTGCCTGTAATCACTCAATCACACCACCACAACAGCAACAATACCTGCGATATGAATGCCAACGCGCCGGTCTTCATCCCGCAAGGGAGCTCCAACAGGATAAATCAATCATCTTCCTCTTCTCGCCCGCAACGTTCCTCTGGCCGCACTTACTATCCTACACAGACCTCCATCCAGCCTGACGTAAAAAAATCAGGCTCAAAGTCACAAAATTATTACGTGTCATCGCAAACTAGTGGTAATTTCTTCATTAATTGATCACTTATTTATTACGAAAAATATTTTTGTCGTCATTCATTAATATGATTACTATAATAGCTCGCGCAAATAGACGAAACAGCTCTCCACGCAAAAACAATCATCAGAATAATCAACGCTCTTATTCCAGCCAATCTGGTGCAAGTGACGAGTCCAACAACAACCAACTTCAGAAAAATGAATGGAATGTTGACGAAAGCTCCTCCTCTCCGTCTATTCATGGCGAAGGCACTACTGTTGATGATACATCATCTATGAGTAATTTATCAATTCGTAGTGCAGAACCAGCAGCGACGGTACGTGTTATATTTTAACTTTAATATTTCTTATCTATTTATTTTAGACATATTACTCAATAATTTTTTAATATGGTGTTTTCCATAAATAGTCTCGTAATAAAGGAAAGATTTACTTGAACCATCTATTGAATTTTACATTCCCGCCAAGACAGCAACATTCCATTGTTAGTACTCCTCGAAGGCAAAAAGTTAATTATCAACCATATAATAAGGAGCGATTTGTCAATGCAAAGTAAATATTTAATATTAATTAAATTTGAAAATTGTTATTTATTATATTGATCATTATTTCTCTCAATTATTGAAAGTTTCCGTTTCCTTATTAATTCGGCTGGTGATTACACTTTCTACCAATTTGACCCAGGTAAGACAAAAAACAGACATTAGCTTTCATCTTTATTATTTTCCCTTACATTCCTAATTTTTCATTGATTTATTAATAGATATTTTACTCAACTGGCAAGATATTGAGCAAGTGGTAAGTTGACCTGCAAACATTATAACGAGGATAATCAAAACCTAAATTTATATAATAATCAATATAATAAAAATTAATCTCTAGATAATCACCAATCCAACAACACCCAGCTGTCCTATTTGTCTTCAAAAACACACTGCTGCGCGTGTAACAAAATGCGGGCACACCTACTGCCTCGCTTGCATCTTGCATTATTTGGAATTGAAGAACGACCCGAAGAAGAATTGGCGTAAATGCCCGATTTGTTGGGACGCGGTATACGCCAAAGATCTAAAGAGTGTTCGATTTATGGTTGTAAAGAATTTGGGCAAGATTGGGGATGGTGGTGTCCCAAAGAACAATGATGCCACTATTACTATGAAATTAATACAGCGCCCGGTGGTAAGAAAAGATTATTGTAAAAATTAAAGATAGCTTATATTTATCATTAATTTTCCTTAAAAATAATTCAAGAGCTCTACAGTCGCCTTACCACGATCAACTTGGTCTTTCACTGATTACTCTTACAACACTTCTCCGCCTTGGCATTTTACCCCTAACGCCTTGCTATTCTCGAAATTGATGCTCGCATCAATCGAATATTTGCAAGGAGAGTATCAACGCGACTTCGGTGAATTGGAGAAGGCGCTACTTGAGGCAAAATCGTTCAATTATCATGAAGAAATTCCGTTTATTGAACTAGCCATTCAAAGTGTAAAAGTACGTAGGATGATAATATATTTTTTCTGTGTTGAGTAAAATTTTTAATTTTTAAATTTTATTTAATTGTAGGAACAATTAAGTCTTCTCGAACAACGCTCGAATCTGGATATTGTTATGGCCGAGAAACGTGCACAGGAAATTATTGCTAGATTTGATGCGAAACATCCGAGTGATGAAATTCATGGAGAAGGAAATCACTATTCTTCGCTGTCATATACAAGCGAAAATTCGGTTAGCATCGTTGATTTAATTGAGCAATTATTATTCGCTCTAAATTTCTTGGTGTATATTTAATAACAATTTGTTAAATATGTAGAGCAATTCGCACGAAAAAGTTACTGTGTCTAATAACGACAATGACACCGAAACAAATTCAACCAATTCTCAAAACGACGCTCCGGAGTCACCAACTACTCGGCTAAAATCCGAAGAAACTTCCGCTCCAGATTTTCTTCCACAGGAATTCATAAAAGAATATCATATATCTTCTCACCTTAATACTACTAATATCACTCAAACTGAAGATAAACATTCAGAAACTTCTGAGAAAGTTGACGTAGCAGCTTCTCCAATCTCGATATCCGGCAAAAGTCCTGTATTATCCGACGGAATGTATTATTTCTATCAGTCGGAAGATGGACAACGGATATATTTACATCCGTTGGATATTCGTATTCTGAAGCACGAGTTTGAGCATTACGAGAATTTCCCGAATGAGATTTCGGTGCGTGTAATTGGTGTTGAAGAGAGTACTATGACTGAAGTAATTATGATTTTTAAAATTTTTTCATGGTAAATAGTAGTGATGTTCTATATAATGATTTTATTCTTGTTTGAATAGGAACTTCGTAAACGTTGCAAGTATCTTGGTCATTTGCCTTTAAGCTGTGATGTAACTTTTCTTGAGGTCGATTTGAATGGTGTAGTATCCAATATAACCTTAGAATTCTTTACAAGTAAGTTACATTCTTTTACTATTTATTAAATGGTTAATAATTTGTTTCTTTGTAAATACTAGATTATATATTTTATTAACAACAGATGAGATTCAACAACGTAAAAACCGCCGCAAAGAAAAAGTTCTCCAAGAAATGCGACAACACGAATACGCAACCTTAAAAGAACAAGAAATTCTCAATTCTGATCCATTCTACCAATCAGTCTATTCGCAACTAACCGATGATGCTGCAGCTGTTTCCGGTACTTCTCCCGAGCACGAAACATTTAGCTCGCTCACTGATACCTCTAGTAATAGCTTGACAAACTCTTTTGCTCCTGTACCTGGAATCAGTAACCACGATAACACTAATAAAAGTAGCAGTGACCAAGAATACTCTGGCCCAAAAACTGTCTGGGGAACGCCCGCTATTTCATTCGCTAATGTAGCTAGCGGTCGCGCAGAACAACATGATCATGATTACGATGATGATGGATTGTACTTTGATGATTGGGATTCGCAAGTGGTGTCGATTGGCAAGAAACAGAAAAAGAAAAAATTGATCCTTTTGTCTAATGGAGGATTGCGAAAGAGGTAGTAATATTGATGAAAACTTAAACTTTTTTTATTAGATAATTCCAAAGTTTCAGTTAATTTGCTTTTTTATATTATAATTCTTTTCTTTTTGTTTGTATTTAATAATTAATTAATTAATTCGTATTAAACGGTAACAAAAAATAAAAAAACTCGAAAGAACAAATGGTTATTGGCAAGCATTAATCAAGGCTTTTGATAATTTTGATAAAAACATAAAAATGATATATAATTAAGAATTATACAAATGGATTCTAATATTACATAGGTAACTATTCCAAGACAAAATAACATTTCAAAGCCCTTGAAATTTCTTGTGCAACATTATTATCTGCATTTGAGCGCACTATATAAGTACAGAAACGCGATTTCACTCGAAAGTGCAATAACACCAAATAACTAAGTGTGGACTTTCTAGATCGCGAAGGTGGAGGTGAATTTGCAACTACCGAGGTGGTTTCTGTGGTATTTGATGAGAGAGTATTTTCATCGGGCGTATCTAAAGACGAATCTTCCTTGATGACAGTCGATACACTTAAAGATTGCTTAGTTTTTTCCGACTCTAAAACACTTGAAGACTGCTTAGTTTCTTCTGACTCTAAAACACTTGATGACTGCTTAGTTTCTTCTGACTCCAAAGCGAGATATGCTGCAGCAATCCCTTCATTAGCTAAAAAGCAAAAATTAGAATTTTTGTGAAGATTGCGTAAAATTCAATTATAGGCTTTAAAATAAAGACATACCAATTACTCCAATAACATGGAAACCAGCTGCTATTCCATCGGATCCCACCCTGTTTTTTTGTCCTCTATAGACGCCGATTCCATCTTCCAATCGCCGTTTCAATAAATTCGTATTATCAACAACCAATGCTCCTGATACTTCTTGCTGTTTCTCGTGCGTTAATTTCCCCCAGCTTTCTCGAAATTCGGGTATAGTCATTTGTATCGGCGTTAGATTGTCCAGTATTGACTCTATTTAGTCGCAATTAATAATTAAAATAATGATGATATTGGATTGAAGCATTAAAAGGTCAATGAATTATATTCAAATTACTTTGTTGTATGACCTGCTCTTGTTTTTGTTGAAATTGGTTTGGAAAGTCATAATCACGCCTGATTCCTATTAAAGGAGACCTTGGAATCTAAAAAGACGAAAATAAGATTTCTGAATTTAATTCCATCTATCGATAGAATAGTTAACAAAAAGTAATTATTCCAAATAGAATCGTTTACCGAAAATTGGGAAGCAGCAACAGCCAATGTTTGATTGAGATTTTGAGGTATGCTCAAAGATGCTGTTGGTTCCTACATAGAAAATCGATTCCACACACATTATTTAACACATCACCAGAAATATTAAGGAATTATGATAATATAATAGTTAAAACCTTCGAATGATCATTAGCGCCCGAGTTACTCGAGTTGCTAGCCATTGATACGTTGCTCGCAGTTTTAGCCTTACCACCAATTCCAATAAACAATGCACTTGCCAATCTCTCTTTTTCCGTGGGAACAGCAGGATTTTTTGTAGAAACGGAAGTTGTAGCTAAAGACTATATATATATATATATATATATATATATATATATATATATATATAGTAATAAAGTAAATTAAATTTATTAAAGATAACGGATCTGTTTATTGAATAGTATTTTAGTTAACATAATCGAAATATCGAAATACCTTGGTAGAAGATCGTAATATGGGGTTCATGGCATCTTCAGATTTGATCGGTACTGTGGGAGTAGATGTTAATTTACTGTAATTATGAAAAAGATAAACTATCATTTTTCAATAACAATTTAAAAATCGATTGAAAATGTTGATTAAATACCTTTCCTCTTTGAAATTTGGAGTGGTAATGGTTGATTCTTTTTCCAAAGAATCATGGAACTTTTTTGGCTGTATCTTATTAATGAAACAAATTGTTTCAACAAAAATATCAAGATACGCCAGATTTTTATATTATGAAAATTTACCGGTTCATTGGTTTGATATCCAGCTCTACTCCATTTTTGTGGAACATTAGCAGTATTTAAAAGCATCAAGTCGGATGAATCAACCAAAGTCATTGTCTGGGATATTTTAGTATCTTGGGCAGAAGAGTTTGATGACGTATCAAGTGAAGAGCTGAGTTTTGTATCAGGTATTAACATAGATTTATTTGTAGGTATCGAAGGAAATTGTCTATAATAATAATTAATTAGCCTATTAAATTTAAGGTCCAATAATTTAATACTAATAAAAAATCGAACCTTTCTGTAATATTTTCTTCATATTCAGATAAGAAAACTGTATTTTTTGAAGGGAGTGTTGATTGACTCTCGGCATCTATCCACGCCGATTGACCAGGGGTGACTCCTAAGCTACCGACTCTCCAAGATTCGTCCTCAACTCGTGTAACAGGCTTTCCTGCTCTACGGAAATCGGGTAAAGTTGGTTTATCATATGCTTCATATCGAATAGTTAGACGAGCCTTTTTATCTTGGCATGCAAAAGAATTTAATTAGAAAAACTCTACATTTATATGATTCTGTATAATTTAAATAATCAAGATACCTTTGGCGCTGGATTCTGAGCTATTACGTATTATTGGGACGGGACTATATGATTTACCTCCGTTTTCAATTGCTTCTTTTACATAATCATCAAGAAACAAGAGAGAATCGTCAATCTAAACAAAAAAATAAAAGCTATAAAATGAGATAAAGATGATTCCCAAAAAAGATTAAAAAATAATAGAATAAAAAGAAGGCTCACAATAAAAGAATCGTTAAATGGACTTTTCCAATTGTCAGTTACTGTACTATTGATCACAATTTTTTCAAGTAATGCCAAATTATCTGTTAATATAATAAATTCATTACAGCACTAAAATATGGATATTAGAATAAAGGAAAAAATTACTATCCACAAGTTGCATTTGACTTTATCAAAATATTTTAGAATTTTTACCTGCTTTATCTCAAATGAGGTATTTGTGCGACATTTTATTACAGCAGCTTTAACATCTTTTGGACATTTCTTCGTCAGTGAAATACATTTGAGTAGGGAATTCATAATTTGGATTTGGATTTCTGCAACTAAATAGATGATGATTCATAAATATTTAGAAAATGAAAGATTAGTCGATAAAATAAACGAGCGTGATTTTACCGTGTACTTCAAGTAAGCAATCAGATAATCTACTGATGACAGTATCTTGATTATCGGTATACGTTATTAGTTCACTTAAAATCTATCAAGATATTGCAAAGAAAAGATCAATGCTCCAAATCAAAAGGAAATTAGATAATCAATAATCTATACCTTGATTGCCAAGATCAACAAAGAATTTGGCAATCCATTCACAACTTCTTTGCTTTCAATTAGTTTAAAGAATTCGTATACTGCACATTTTCTCAAATTTTGTTCCCACGCGACCGTTTCATAGCCTTCTTCTTCTGTCATTTTGAAAAAAAATTGTCAATAATTATGGTAATATTTTAAAAGGTAGGTATATAATTACTTTTAGTGATCACCATAACCACACGATCCACTAACGACTCATCAACGAGATCGCCGGCTGCACGAAATGTTGCTATTAGTGTATTGATTATCCAACTCGAGTCTCTAATAGAAAAAGAATATGTTTATATTGGAACAAGAACTTTTGTTAAGTATATACAATAGATTATACTATTATCAAAAAAATTAAGCATAAATCAACAGATCCTAAAGGATATCTTTCACAGCAATCAACAATTCGTTCTATCAATTGCCTCCGCAAGAACTTGTCATAAAATGAAGTAGTTTTCAATGCTTCCATAATTCGATCAACTACTACCATTACATTTTGAGAATTTATCATTTTGTATAAAAGATCAAGAGTCTATTATTATAATTAAATAATTAATTATCTTCTCGCCAAAAAATAAAAAAAAACTCGTTCCTTCACTCACTTTTCTTTTCAGCGTTTCATCTTTTTCGTCCAAACACTCAACAATTACATTCATCTGTTCTTCACCCCACCAATCGCCTTCCACCCACCATTTAGGATCGATTTCCGAAACTGCCAATAACCCAATATACTTTAAATTAAGATTTTTGGATTTAAGAAAGTGAGTGATTATATTTAGTGGGTTGTCATTGGTGATTGATGATGATTGATTTGCTATTTTGGAGAATGTGGATGTAGAAAGTCGAGAGAGCGCACGAACGCATTCGAATATAACAGCTGATAATAACAGAACTTTGTTAAAATTGATTCTCTTTTAACAAAACATTAGTATTAATAAATAGACGCAGAAAATATAGACGAACCATAAGCAGCATCAACGCCTTGCTCTGACTTTCGTAGAGTTTGAATAATGATCGGACACACTTCCTCACTTATTCTATGATTAGAAAAAACGATTGTACGTGAAAAGAAACATCTAATAATTTTTTCATTAAACGTAAGATAAAAAAAGGTACATCTCATCATCTCGACCGAGTAATCCCAAAATTTCTACTAATTGAATTTGAATCCATGGCGCAGGTATTCCATGATAATCATAAGTTCGAGCAAGCCAACGATCCAGAACTTGTTCTAAAATGTTGATGAATATAGGAACTAAATCTCTGAATTGACTCGGATTATCCTTTTTACCAAACAAATGTAAAATTAATTGTAACTTTCAATTTTACCGAAAGTAATCAAGTATCACAATAACAAACACACATCTACCTTTACAAAATCGACATATAAGCATAATACAGCACCCAATACAGCAGGATCGCGAGATTTTAAGATATCACAGAATTGTGGCTCAAGATGAAGGATTAAATCAGGCGAAGATTGATAAAAATGGTGAAAAACTAATAGTGTTTTTTTGCGTACGATTTCCCTACAATAAAATTTTAAAAACAGGACCATCTTCAATATTTAATTAATTAATAGAATAGAATATTTTAAAAATTATTTTGACAACAGATTAATTACATATTATGTGTCAATTTCTCTTGTAATGGTTTCAATATGGCTGGAATCATTTCCGGATCTACCACATGACTCATGACTCCTAATGCTGCGCAAATCTCATGATGGTTTCTACTATTCAAGTCCTTTTTCAATTAAATAGTAAATAAAAATTTAAATACTATTAAAAAATACATTACTGCAAATATACTTTTTCTTTTCTCACCTTTTGTATAGTGTTAATTAACATAATACTCAATTCATGTTTTTGTGTCATGAATAAAGAGCACGCGAGGTACCCTTATATTTATTTTATATCATTTTATGCGTGATTAATAATTATAAAGTAACATTGTCCTTGCAGAAAAACTTGAACAAATTATAAAAATTATTTATATTTTCTCTCTCACCAACCAACACGTTTTTCTGAAAGAGTTTTCGCACTTTGAGCCAATTTTAATGCGTAAATATGTCCAAAATTGACATCATGTCCAAGAATTTCGCAGAAAATTAATCTATTAATGTAATCCTTTATTTTTGACTTTTATTTTTTTTGTTTTTGATAGAATTACATTTTAAATGTAATAATGAAATGTATTAATATTATGAAAATTATAAAAAATGATAAAAAATACTAAATATCGTTAATCAAGCTACCAAATTAATATCAGGTTGTGCTAATTTTTGCCTTAGAGCGTAAAGTTCTTCGGTAACATATCGTTCTTCTTCCTTTTGATATATATATATGGAAAGAAAATTTGAGGATATTGGCATTAAATAGAGATTTTTCTCATAAATATCACGAAATGAAAGACGACCAACCTGATTACTTTTTGCCTCTGCCACTCTTGAGACAAATTCAAAAAAACCTCGACTGTGTCCTGAGGTTAAGTAATTTGTGTTGAGCAAGGTTGGTAGTTGCGAAGTCATTCTTGAGAATTATTTTGAGCATAACTAAAAAGCTTATATGAACATTATTCGTCACGTGTTTTCGTGAACAAATCTCGTTATATCGATATACTTTGTAGCATATAAGTATAACGATAATGTTGGACAAGTCCTTTTCTAAGAAAGGTATAGTAATAAGTACAATCAAAGCTTGATATATGATCAGAACGCAATATTATTATATCGAGAATTTATTAAAAATTGGTATTCTAAAGAAAATTTTACTAGTAGTTATTATTATGTTTTTTTGCAATTAGGAAAGTTTTTTCAAAAATAAAATTATATGGTGCATAATATCTAAAGTCATCAAATATTTGTATTTTAAACTTCTTTATTAAAAAGTAAGTACAAAATTTGATAATCTATAAATATAATAGAATATGATTAAATTTTGTAAAATACAAATGTTTGATGACTTTAAATGTTATGCACCATATAAAAAGAAATTTCCATTTTTTATTGTTTTATTAATTAGATAAACATGTATTTTATTAGTTTTGCAAGTTACTAATTATAAAAATTTGAGTGTATTGTTATGTTTTATAAAACTTTAAATAACATGTTATTACGTATATGCATGTTATCGTTAGAATAAATTCAGAAATCTTCTTATAACAAGATAAATATGATTATGTTTTAATTAAAAGTTTTTATTACAAAAGAATATTATAGATATATATTAATTATATTAAGATTTTATAATAAAATATAGATTATATAATATTTATAAACTGTTTAATAAGAATATAATAGTATAATTTTTGTAATTTATAATAATTTATAAAATTTTATTATTAGTTTAAGTGAAAATTTATTGGTTTATATTACTAATAAATCAACAAAATGTATAGAATATCATTTAACAAATTTCTTTTATAATTTATATTCTAATCAAAATTATAAAATCTTAATTAATTTTTATCAGAATTATATATTTCAAATTATTAACTTGTTCAAATTTTAAAGCTCAATAACTTTTTAAATATATATTAATAAAAAATCTCAATATTAATTTATATTTCTAATTATAAACTAATAAATTAAATATTTATAATATAAAATTTTTTATTTTAATTTAAAATTTAGAAAAATTATTAAATAATTAATATTATTAAATAATAAAATATAAATAATTAATTATATTAATTTATATATAAAATCAACATGTATTATAATTATTAAAAATAAAGTTAAAATGTTTAGTAATTTTTAATTAATTAATAATTTCTTTAATAATTATTTTCGTTTAATTATTTAAAGAAGTAAATTTGTATAATAATATTTATATTTTTTATATTTATATTTTGTATTTTATTTTTTTAATTTTTATAATATTATCCAAGTATTTTTGCTATAGGTATTTAGCTAATAAAATCATTTAATATATTTTTGCAATCATATCATATTTAATTATATTTAAATAAAGAAATTATTAATATATTTTTGCAATCATATCTTATTTAATTATATTTAAATAAAGAAATTATTAATTATAATTCATAAATTTATTTGAATATCTGAGATTTCATGAACTTATTTTAGTTATTCAACAAATAAATACATATTATTTATAGTAATTAATCTTATATTCAGTTTAATATTTTTTGTTTTGTCAAATTGATATAATTATAATAAATTTTGTTGGATTTTTTCTAATATAACTAACAAACTGTTTCATGAAAGCTGCTAACATCAATTTAATCAATAAATTCAAGAGCTTTTTTATTGTCAAATTTTATTAATTTTTTTGTATGTATACATCCTAGCATAATTTTTGAAATAACCATATTAACATGAAATGTTTGATATTTTTTCAATTTTTCTTTTTTTTCTTCTTTGTTTTGATTGGAATATTATATGGATCAATACCACATCGATAATGAGCCGTCCATGCGAGGATCCATCTAATTTTCATAAAGATATATTGCAAATCATAAGAGTAAATTATTTTTTAAAGAGAATAATAGATAATCTACTGTAGACATTACCTTCTTTGCCTGGTCCCTATTGCCATATCTTCTTTCATTTGTTTACTAGTCGTAGTAAAAAGTTCATCCCAACTCTAAATTCTCATATTAATTTTAAAATGGTCAAGATATATATAAAATTGGATTTTCTTCAAAAAAATCAAAAACCTTGAATTTATCAGCTAAATCAACGCATCCTCGACCGATTCGCTCAAGAAAGTCTTTGTGAGTTTTAACGTTGCCTTTAAAACCAAAATTATGAAAATTTGATACGTCATTAAAAGAATTGTTTCTTTTTACTACCTCTTGGCGGAGGAACCTGAACAAAACGTGCAGCCGAAGAACAGCTACTTTGAAAATATCTACAAAATTTAAAATAATTGAGAGCAGAGAATGTTCTCGAAGGTAAAATAAGCATGTTAAAACCCTTGAGTAACGGCATTTATTTCATTTCATTTTAAATTATCGCGTCTTAAAAATCTGATCTGTCCAATCAAGTGAAACAGTATTGATTATCAATAAACGAGTCAACCTCGATAACCTTTTTTAAAATGTCAGGTCTACAGAATGAGATCACTGAATCTCAAAAACAACAAGATGAAAATGTTTCCGAGGAAGAAAAAGAAAAATTAATAAAGTAAACTTTTTAATTGTTTAATTGTTTCTTCCATGTTTGACATAAATGTATTTTGTTGTATTGAATAGTTCTTATTATTATTATTATTATTATTATTATTATTATTATTATGAGAATAGTAAAGTAGTAGAACTTCAAGAAGGCTTAAAAGGTATGTATGCATGCTGATTATAACTGTAAGACGACTATTTATATGATTTCATTGACTACACGATAGCTCTAGGAGAACGCGTTGAATCTGTAAAACAAGATTATGATCAAAAGCAAGCTGGTAATCAGATTCTTCAAACATATATCAACAATTTAATGTCTTCGAATGTGTTATCTTCTGCTGGTGCTGGCGCTGGCGCTGGCGCTGTTTCTGGTGGAATTGGCAAAAAGGATGGTTAAGATTATTGCAAATGGGTTTATGTGCATACAGTACTTTTTATATACATATATATATATATATCATCAGTTTAGAAAATCATGACTATACTTGATTATTTAAATTAAAGGTAACGGTAACTTACAATACTCCTATGAATTAATGATCAAATAACGAGAATAAAAATTTATTTCAAATTTTCTTAAAAAAAAATATTTACATGATTCGAATTCTTTATGCCTAATAATTAGTTAATAATGACTTGTTATAAATGTTCTAATTATATTTGATTATATTCGTCATCGTTGTCATCGTCCTCGTCGTCCTCGTCGTCTTCGCTGTCATCGACATCGTCTTCGCTGTCATCGTCCTCTTCGCTATCGTCATCATCGTCCTCATCGTCAGTCGTAAGAACCCATGCGGGATCATACTCTCTCTCGTGACAGTTATCGACCCGAGTTATAACATTTTCGAATTTCTCAACATACCATTCATAGGTAAGCTCATCATGTCCACCCTCTAATGGTCTGGCAGACCTTTTATAATATCCATCAATACCTGACGCATAATGATATTCCATTTCCAGCATGAATTCCCTATGATATCGAATCATTGCATTACGTGCCGTGAGTTCGTTAAGATAAACTCCCATGGTTTTATTACTGTGTCCTTCACTGTCAAAACTCTTTTCTTTCAGCACATAGATTGTCGGTGGATTTGTCACGATTTCATTAATATAAAGAGCGAAACGTTGCGGCAAATTCACTAATTCACGCCATTGTTTACACACATTCCGAGCAACAAGAAGCGAGGAAGTTGGAAGAAAACCGAAAATGTGAAGTATTAATTCCGGAGTTTGTAATACAGTGGCAGCTGCTGAATTATCATGATGGTGTAGTTGAAATTGACTATTAATTGTCGTCATTGCGTTAATACCATTTTGAATCATGCGCGAGTTTATCATATTTGTGTTCATATCCTTCACATCCCTTAGAGAAAGTGAAATTTGGTTTTTTATATAAAAAATTTCGATTCAAAACAATTTAATAAAAACACGAATGTTTTTGTTTTGAGTCTCTCTCAGCCACATTTTTCCTTATTAGTCAACATCTTAGATTTTAGATTTTCAGCCACATGCCTTAACATGATTCAAAGAATTAAGAATTACAAGTTCAACGACGGCCGGCTTTAGAGATTAGAACGATACCTTTATACCTTTTTTTACTCCACCGTCCTGTCTTAAATATGCGGAGAACCGAGCACCACACGCGACCACACAACAATTATCAAGCGCAACAGCAGTTTTACTCAAGCCAGCAATATCAACCTCCTCCCGACTCCCATTCCGTTATTTTAGTTACCGCTGGCTATGACCACACTATTCGGTTTTGGGAAGCTTTGAGTGGGATTTGTTCGAGGACTATACAGCATCCTGATTCGGTCGGTACACATATATATTTATATGGATAGCATATCGGACTATTTACAATCCTCGAATGCGTGAGAGATATTTATAAGAGTTTTTGATGAAACTCGAAAAAAGGAATTGCTCATATCTATTTACAAATTTTATACATCATGATAGCAAGTTAACAGGTTGTGCATTTCACCGGATAAGCGGTACTTGGCAGCAGCTGGTATGTAATAGAGTAAACACACCCATTTTTCAAATATATCTTGATGCATAAAATTCTTGCTGCAATGCTTTTCTAATGACATTAACGATATTTCTTAAAGGAAATCAACATATTCGATTATACGACATTAATAGTCCCAATCCAAATCCGGTAACCTATTTCTTTACTTATCTTCAGATTGCTTATTCTGTAATCTACACAGATCCATTCAATCATCTATTTCCTTATAAAGACATTCATTTAATAAACGCTCTTCGATCTGTATATATATTAAGATAACTTCATTTGATGGTCATACAGGAAATGTGACTGCAGTCGGTTTCCACTGCGAAGGAAAATGGATGGCTAGTGGAAGTGAAGATGGTACTCTAAAAATCTGGGACACAAGGTGATCGATCAATTCAAATAGATTCAAAAATGAAAGAAACAACAACAATCTGTTAATAACGAAAGCAATATAATTGGTTCAGAACTTCACAAGTTCAACGTAACTATGATCACAAAGGACCCGTTAATGATGTGGCTATTCATCCTAATCAAGGCGAATTGATCTCTTGTGATCAGAAGGGTATTATTAAAATTTGGGATCTGAGCGAGAATTCCTGTACTTATGAATTGGTAAGACGCCGAAATTCGAATTAGATTATTTGATATTTTGTGGTCTCTGAGCCCTATTAAATTTTTTTATCATATACTTCGAAGGCGCCTGAAGATGATGTTCCTTTAAGATCCGTGACCGTGGCAATTGATGGATCAATGTTAGTCGCTGCTAATAATAAAGTAATTATTAGTATTAAATTTTAATTTGACTCTTTTGTTGTTTGAATTGCTTGTGATATGTAAATATTATTTTGAATAAAACCTAGGGCAATTGTTATGTTTGGAAAATGTCGAATACGCGCGATTTTACCGATTTGCAACCAATCCATCAATTTTCGGCACATAAAAAATATATCACTAGATGTCTATTGAGTCCGGATGTAAAGTAGGTAATTTGCGTGTTTCCTATCCGCGAACTTTTTTTTTGTTACCGAATGACGACATCGATGATGACTATTATTACGTTTTAGAAACTTGGCCACGTGTTCGGCAGACACCACAGTGAAAATATGGTCAACTGCTGACAACGAATTCAAATTGGACAAAGAATTGAAAGGACATACGCGATGGGTATGGGATTGTGCGTTTTCTGCTGACTCTGCTTACTTGGTTACCGGTGAGTTGTTTTACTGATTGGTTATATGACCTAGCGAACTTTTCTGAATTCTTGATTTCTATTATCCAGCCTCATCCGATCACGTAGCGCGGTTATGGGAATTACAGCAAGGTGAAACGATAAGGCAGTATAATGGTCATCATAAGGCGGCTGTTTGTGTCGCTTTGAATGACTTGTCGATTGGTAACTAATTGAACATCACACTGGGAGAAATATCTATTATTTTTATGTTGGTTGATAGTCATTTTATTTATAGTAGATTTTTATACAACATAATAAATATATAATTTTTGGTTAGTTGTTATTTAATTGATTATTAGTTAGATTATATGATGAAATATAATAAATTTGCTACTTCAAGTTACTTGCTGATCATATTTTTTTTTATTATATATAACAGATTTTTGCAAGTTATATATATTAAACAATCTTTGCTTAACAAAGCCAATAATGCATCTTTACATACATGTGTGAGAGCTATATTTTAAATATTATTTTGCAGGAGTAGCAATAGCAGAAACTCAAGACACCCTATTGATACAGGTTTTATATAAAGTACCCACGTTTGTTGACCATTTGTCGATCGCTGTGTAGCGTTGAGTATCAGATGATCTAACATTAATAAGAGAATAAATTTAGCGAATTCATTCATATGGTGCTCGTGCCTCACCCTAAGCGAAAATATTATCTTGTATGACATATAATATATACACAAATACGTACTGTCTATACAGCTCCAATCGTTGATTCACTTGATCGATTCTTCCAGAAATCTTATTGTCAAGCACTAGACCTACTAGTAACTCTTCTACGTCTTGTGCCGGAATGTTCAATTGCTGTTATTGTTATCAAAGCAATAATGTTAGTAGGTATTAAGTTAACGTGAGAGATAAACGTTAAATTTACCTTTGATATAAATGGTATCTCGATACGTGTGTACGGTTTGATCAGACGTAAAAGTACCTGAGTACGAATATTCTTGAGGACATCGTCAATGTATGTTCTGATGAAGGGGTCGTCCATAATTGTTGATCGATTCTCTTTATAATAATAATAATAATAATAATAAAATAGCAAAGAAATACAGAGAAGAGTTTTTTTTCCATTGGTTAATTTTATTATTCCAAGACCGCGAAAATTGGAACCGGAACTGCATAAGAGATATATAAATAGGGACTCTGCGTAATACATACCCCGAAGAATTTTCTCAAACTCTCGAATCTCCTTTCGTTGATATGCACTTACTAGGTTTGTCATTGCAACAATTTGTGGATCGTTTTTATAACTATTTTTTGAGCCAAAAACGGTGATTAGGATTTTTTTGATTGCATGCTTCGAATTATATTGTATAATCGTGTCTTACGGTTTGGTCTCTTGCGAGTCAAATGGGTTGATTTGTGATTCTGTTAACATATTTGCGAGTACAAGGTATCTATTATATATTCATATGTAATATATAAATAAAGGAAATCAATCGGCTGCCAGCGAGTGAATGCGCTCTATCAATTCTTCTCTAAATAATTCATAAAATCGATAATTACAAAGAGGAAAAGAAACCTACTTCAATACTTGTATACGCTGTGGACTACCGGCCTCGTCGTAGTTCCTGAATGACTCAAAGAAATCAGTTTGAGCTTTATCCCATTCCTCTGGTAAACGTAATTTAATTTTTTTATAAATATTACAAATAAGTAAATTCCAATAACAACAATAATAAGCAACTACACTCACTTTCACCCATGTGCATCTTTCCACCACATTCCCGAATTACACCCATTATACGTGGATGCGGTATAGCAGATTTCACGTGTAGACATTGTTGATAAAGTATCTATATATTTTGATAGATGAATATAAATTAAAAGTAAAATAAGAAAATGCAAATAGAAAATTCAAATGGATAAAAAAAATAATTGTGTGCTTTTTATTATTAACCTTCAATTTCTTATTATTCTTTGTCTCAGTATACATTTGAATCTCCAATGCAAAGATCTCTAGCAAGTGTGTTCCCTTTCTTTGATCATCTGTACCATCATCTTTTTGACAGGATTGGTGAAGTTGTCGTAATATCTAAAAAAATCGCCGATAACGCTTTACTTACAAGTCCGTAATAAACGAATAGTTAAATCAAAATATTTACCTTACTCAACCGCGTAAATTCTTTACGATCAAGCCAAAGTTTGGCCAATTTCAAATTAGTCTTGACCCATAGACGCTATTTCAAAAGGAAATTAGGCCAAATCAGCAAAATTTCAGAATTTAAATAATAGCTAAAAAAAAATAAATAATGAAGAAATAAATACATCATTTTTAGCTTCCTCTAATGCATTCAATGTCGTCGAATAGAACTTCTCCATAAATCCCATATCCTGCGAGGTAGAGATAAAATCCAAAATATTGTTGATACTCTTCTCGCCGTAATTTCGCGTGACAGCTGATTTTGTGTAGGTGAGAAGTTCCTTGTAGTACTTGAGTGTCTATTCAAAATTTTCATAGATCAGTCATTTTGCAGTTTATAGATCTGATTTCAACCTCCATATAAGGAGGAACAAGAAAAATTAATTCACACTTACCGATTCAGAGTCATTAGCACGAAAAGAAAGTTTACACATTTGTTTTAATGCTTTGAAACCCCTAAAAATCAATTATATCAATTATATCACGTATATAACGTTGAATGATATTAGTCTAACAACTCAGTAAAAACCTTAGACAATGACTTACCAATCACCTTTTTCTGATTCTGTCTCAACCACACTCTGGAACTCTTTTATGGCCGCATTAGGATCATCCTCTTTGCGTGCTGCGTGTTTAAAAAAACTGAATTTAAAAGCTGCTTTGCAAAAATGTATATTAATAGTCTTTTGCTAAAGACATACCTTTAGCATTATAGTATTTATTTTCAAGATCAACGTCTGGTTCTTCCTGTTCGTCGTCCTCATAATCAAAGTTATAGTCTTCTTCATCGTCCTCGAGCATAAAATCGTCGTCAGACATTTTGTATTTTACTGTGAATTGTATTTTTTTACGTTTATACATGCATACGTCACCGACCTCTAATACTCACGTGATGCACGTTTTTGTAAAATCTAATCAAATTTGTGACCAATTAGAGCTATTGTAATTTGTGCTATAATCATTTTCAATACTAATTTTGCCCAGAATTATCATATAGAACAAGTCAATATTCTTTTTTTTTGATAAGTTGATGCTTATAGTAGCACACACTATACTAATGACAATAATAATGGTAAATTTAAAAAGGCATTATTGTTGAATTTCATTCTTTTGCTATTTAAACATTGTTATTTTAAACATCATTATTGAATTTCATTTTTTTTTCAATCTGCTCATTTTTCGTTCTTTTTCGAAGTAAACTACGTTTCTTTTCACTTTTATTTGCCTCTTTTGCGTTTTCGTTTCCTAATTTTTTGTTGCTTGTTGAATTTAAAGATGATGATGACGACGAGCCAAGAGATAATACATTAATTTTTTCCATTAACGGGACTCTTTCTTCAGTTGTTACAGTTGTTGGTGGTGATGTGGAATTGATTTCTGAAACTAATATTATTTTTTCATGAAGTGAAGCTATATTTTTAGAGTCAAGTTCTACATCTGTCGGTGTTGTGGATTTAGTTTCAGAAACTGATAATGCCGCTGTTTCCTTTTCTGATTGATGTGCTGACTGATTAGGAATATCGATATTTGGGTCTGCTATAATAAGTGGTTCATTGTTATCATTAATAACTTCGTGTTTGCTGGAACTCTCGGTAACCTGTAGTTGGATTTTCTCATTTATTTGCTTATCAATTCCTGTCTTTGCTTTTGAAACCGAGAATTTCTTTTTGACGTCAAAGCTTTTCTCACCAATCACAATCGGCGGAGTATTCACTTGAGGAGAATTCAAAGGAATCTGTTCCAGATCATCTTTCGATTCTTTATCTGTTACTTCTTCCAGAATTTCCTTTTGTTTTCCTTTCCCCTTGTTAGTTTGTGAATTATCCATAGACTATCGTTGTGAAAGATTTCAAAGATTTCGTAAAAGAAATAAAGTGAATATTATTCGTGAATTAACATGCACATATCGCACCTCTTTTTTACCATCGTCCTCCTCAATATTATCATTATCACCACTCATCGCATAATTACGTGTCGCCTCACGAGCTTTTTGTTTGAATAGAATCGGACTATCTTTAAATTCTCGCGCCTAAAAATAAATAGTAAATGAATTATCACATGTAGTAATTTCTCACTAATTAAATTCCATAGATAATATGCATATTATCGTTTTACATACAATGTCGATGGAAAGTGGGTCATCTGGATTAGGGTCGGCCATTAGTACGCTTAACGAGGTTAGTGTTGTTGATATGTTCAAAGATGGACTCCAGGAACCCTAAGGTGAAAGATTTACTTTAGATGAGTTCTTTTATACAATAGTTTTGTAGGATCAATCAATAAGAAAATAAAAAAAACCTTTGGTGGAATTTTTAAAATATCAAGACATATCCTTCCGACATCGTCCACATTTGGATGATATATCGGCGTGACAAATTGCATTTTTGGTGGTTCCATCGGATATCTATAAGATTAATGAATTGATGCGTTATTAAATTTACAAATATCTTTACAATTAAGGTTGATAAAGCTTACCTTTGAGGAATTTGTACCTTCACTTTAAAAATTCCCCCCTCGTACGGTGTGTCAACCGGACCCTTTATTTCTTTTATCGGAAATAAGTAATATATTTTTACTGCTAAAGAGTATTATTCTCGGTTCCCTCAGACCTCAAGGAAATTACCCACCTGCAGCAAAGTTCAGTAAACTATCGTCCACCGGATAACAAACAATGCCAGGAGCTGTATCACGTTCTAGGATTTCTTTTGAACACAAACAATAATGTCAAATTAAAACTTAAAAAACGCGGGTACAGTAATTCACTATTAGCAAGGAAATTTACTATTAGCAAGGAATAAAATTACCAAGCTCTCTTTTCATACGGGGAAGAATTTTACTTGTCGACATTTTGTGTAAATATGACTTTGATCATTAAAAGCTTTTTTGGTTACAGTTTATAACGATAAAGTCAAAACGCGTCGAAAATCGAAACCGTTTTTGATTGGATAGCATTATAAATTACTAGATGTTGGTTAATGCTGGCTGGCTTTAGAAATTAAAAGATCATCAAATTCTGGAAAAATAAGTAAACCTCGCCTTTTGATACTATCAATTATTTGTAATGAGTGCTAATCGTCCGTCGCGGCATCACAACAGTATAAAATACGCCTCTGCGGACCATGATCGGTTAAAACGTGCCTTATTACAACCAGTTCAACCATGGCATGTTTTTTTTTGGGTCAATTTCTGTCGACAAATAGTAGAGTTTGACATTTCCTCTTTAATAGGGATAAGAAACTGGCATATTCATCACATGGTTCCAAAAAATTAAAAATATTTAAATGGGTGAAATGTAAATATCAATGCGTCAGTTAGGATCCGTGCATCTGCTTTATCCCGTACAAATTGTAGATACGTATTGAATTCGTTTATTAATTAAACAAATAGCCGACAGGAAAATAAAATTCGATGATGATGAAGAAGGTGAAGAAGAATCTTTACGGCAGATGGTGTCTGAGGTGAGATCTCCAAGCGTGAACCTTTATTCAATTCAGAATTTTCTAACTTTTATTATTATTATTACTGGATGTTTGATTTTTAATGATAGGATATTTCCACACCAACTGCTTCAATTATACAACCACTGACAGCAGCTTCTACTCCTCAACCCTCAGAACCTGAGCCAGATTCCACGCCGAAACCAATTCACACATATCAACAGACAACACAAAATCAGCGTCCTACTTCGTTGATTGCCACTGCTGTAAAGCATGCAACACTAATACGTGAATCTTCGTCGACAATGTCTACACCTCCCGCGGATATATTTGTTGTGAATACGGATAATAATACACCGCAGCACGAGACGGGTGGTGTTTCTGGTTTGGATACGCCTGATCGTGATATTGAAGAGACGGAGGATGAAGAATTAGAAGCAGAAGAAATTGGAGGGTTATCTGATACCGGAAATATACGTCGTAGTAGTCAAGAATTGATGCGGTTCAATATCAAGGATAGTACTTCCCAGGTAGCAGCACAGATGAAACGCGAGGAAGAGCGTCAACAAGAAAATGGAGAGGAAGCAGATGATGATCAGGATGAAGATGATATGATGGATGACGAAGAGGAGGAGGAAAACGACGATGATGACTTAGATCACGAAGAACATGAGGAAGAGGAGGAAGAACAAGAACAGGACGAGGAAGAAGAGGAAGAGGAAATAGATGATGAAAATGACGAGGTAGAAGTCGACCAGGAACAAGATAACTATAATGAAGAGGAGGAAGACGATGACGAAAATGAAGACGACGATGACGACAATGATGATAACGATGATGATGAATTCGAGGAAGAGTTAGAGATGTACAATCAACAATCGCAAAATCAGCGAAACTCTAATAGTCAACATTACACATTACACCATCAACCACTTCATCATCATCACAATAATCACAACAACTATCTTCATCAACCGACCAGCTACGTAGAAATGCAAACTAATCATGAATATTCGACGACCGCAGTTCCTACAAATAACAATTTCAGCGAACAACCAGTCGTCGAGTACACTAGTGAATTCGACGACGGGCACGAAATGTCATATGATGACATGCAACAGGCGGCCGCTTATCGACAGCAGATTGGCGAAATTTTGGCACAGGAGGAATTGGAAGACGGTGAGATTGAAGAAGCGGAGTATAATGATTTGCAAGAATTATGATTTATTTATTTTTGATTAGTTTGGTAGTGTTAATTTAATTGTATAGGCAAACTGTAATAAATAATGACAATAATTGATTAATCGAAATGGTGAAAAATATATTTTAGAATCGAGTTTGTTTTTAAGAACATGTACCAATCTTATAATATGTAAAATTTGAGTTTAAACAAATTGTAACGGACAAAATAAATATCCAATTAGTATGTTGATCTCTGGTATGCTCATTGTGTCCGAGATAGTACATATGATATACACGTGTTTATTATCAGATCTAAAATCACGAAATTTTTTCAGAACACGTTTTTTATTATCTCTAGATAGCAGCACTACGAATTAAACCAGTAATGGCAACGGCTACAAACCAAAAAGGTTTTGTAAGAAATGTTTCTTCGCACATTTATTATCCGAGTAAGAACTCGCCATGGCAGCACCAAGAAAAAAAATTAACAATAATCCTGATACCACTAATATAGAAGATTTGACCGCATACCTACATGAACAATTATCGAAACGCATTTTTTTCCTCGATGGAGGAATGGGCACTGTGATTCAAGATCTTCGGCTGACAGAAGCAGATTTTCGTGGCGACCGCTTCAAAGATCACCCAAAAGATCTAAAGGGTAATAATGACATTCTGGTTCTGACACAGCCTCATCATATCAAAAATATTCATTTGCAGTATCTTGAGGCTGGTGCCGATTTTTTGGAGACGAACACATTTTCGTCGACTTGTATTTCTCAGGGTGATTATGCGGCAGAAAAATATGCATATGAATTGAATAAAGTAGCCGCGCAACTTGCAAAAGAAGCATGTGTTGAAGTATAGTATCTTATGAAATTTAATTGATTGATTTATTTTATTTGCTTGTATATTCGTGTTTTTTTATTTTAAATAAAAAAAAGATGATTATAAATTGTAATTGTTGATTTATTTGTAAACTATATTAAAAAGATTACCGCCAGGGATCCAAGTAAACCACGATTTGTATGTGGGGCTATTGGTCCCACGAATCGTACATGCTCTATTTCCCCTTCTGTCGAAAATCCTGCTTATCGTAATGTGACATTTGATGAATTAGTTGAGGCATATAGCGAACAAACCCGAGGACTTTTGGATGGTGGTGCAGACATCTTATTGGTTGAGACTATCTTTGATACGTTGAATGCTAAAGTTTGTTGTTTCAGCAGCAATGACTTGTTTTTACGTGTGCATAATCAAAACAAAATTTAAAATTACTGATATTTTTTAAGGCTGCACTTTTCGCTATCGATACTATTTTTGACCAAGGATATCGACGAACACCAATATTTATATCAGGGACAATTGTTGATATGTCTGGTCGTACATTGAGTGGTCAGACCGGAGAAGCATTTATTGTTAGTGTCAATCATTCTAATCCGCTTGCGATTGGACTAAATTGTGCTTTAGGGGCTGACCAAATGCGCCCGTTTATAAAGAACATTGCACAATTTTCTGGATCCTACGTTTTATGTTATCCTAATGCGGTATGATATGTCTCTTATTTTATATAGACAATCATCTGGTTGATTTTGAACCTATTCGCCTTATTTATATTTCGATTTATTTTTTAGGGTTTACCAAATACGTTTGGAGAATACGATGAATCTCCTGAAATGATGTCAAAAGCTGTAGCTGAATTTGCAAAAGATGGATTCATAAACATATTAGGAGGCTGTTGCGGCACTACACCAGCTCACATCAAAGCCATTGTAGAAGCCTGCTCTAAATATAAGCCACGTGTCCCATCACCAGATGCTTCTCTAGAGAACATGATGATTTCTGGACTGGAAATTCTAAAAATTAACAAAGACACTAATTTTGTAAATGTGGGAGAACGATGTAATGTTGCCGGGTCTCGTAAATTCTGCAGGCATATTCTCAAGAATGAGTATGAGGATGCTATGACTATCGCTAGAGCACAAGTTGAAAATGGGGCTCAAATAGTTGATGTTAATATGGATGAAGGAATGTTGGATGGAAAAGCGGCCATGACGAAATTCCTGAATCTCATAGGAAGTGATCCTGACATTTCTCGAGTGAGTGTCGAGTTAGTTAATTCATCTAAATTCATTTATTATATTAATTTTTTGGTTTGTTTGTCTTTATCTTTCTTAAGGTTCCGTTGATGGTGGATTCTTCGAATTTCGAAGTTTTGATGGCCGGGCTCAAGTGTGCACAAGGGAAATGCATTGTCAACAGTATCAGTTTGAAAGAAGGTGAAAAGGATTTCATAAATAAAGCGAAAATTATTCGTAGATTTGGGGCTGCTGTTATTGTTATGGCCGTAAGTCGATTTTGTGATTTTTGTTTCTTTATTAAATAGGATATAATTAATCATTTTTCATAGTTTGATGAAATTGGACAAGCGGCTGAATGTGAGCGTAAAGTGGAAATTTGCACGCGTTCTTACAAAATTCTCACTGAAATAGTCGGATTTAATCCTAATGATATTATATTTGGTACGATATTCGTGACTATTATTTAAATGATATTATATTTAACTTGAATTGATTAATATATAGACCCGAATATTTTGACAATATGTACTGGAATGGAGGAACATAACAATTACGGTGTAGAATTCATCGAGGCTACGAGGATCATCAAGAAGACTTTGCCAGGAGCTAAAGTAAAGTTTATTGATCTATTTGTTACTGTCTTTACATTTGAGAACTTTTTTTGTATATCGTCAATTTTTTATTGTTTTAGATAAGTGGCGGAGTTTCGAATCTTTCATTCGCGTTTCGTGGAATGGATAAAATTCGAGAAGCGATGCACAGTGTGTTTTTATATCATGCTATAAAAGCAGGTGAAAAAACTATTTCGATTCTTGTAGTAAAGATTGACGTTTCTTTTAACAACATTAATTAACTAATAAATTAAAACTCAAAGGCATGGACATGGGCATTGTGAATGCAGGATTTCTGACAATCTACGATGACATTCCCAAAGATTTACTAGAACTCTGCGAGAATGCTGTATGGAATCGTGATTCAGAGGTCACTGAGAAAATCCTGAATTATGCTCAAACCTATGGAAAATCCGCGAAACGCGAAGAAGCTGAAGAAGAATGGAGGAACAATAATGTTCAAACCAGAATCAGTCATGCGCTAGTTAAAGGGATAACAAAATATATTATTGAAGATACGGAAGAGGCTCGGCTACAGGTGTGTGAGAAAAATGGATAAAGGACTTTTTTTATGGTATTTCCTTCCTTACTTTTTTTTTGTACAGTATGAACGCCCGTTAAATGTAATTGAGGGACCATTGATGGCAGGGATGAGTACTGTTGGCGATTTGTTTGGCGCAGGTATGAACAAACCGTCAATTCTATAAATTCAATTGGTATAGAAGTCAATACGCTCAAATTATAAATAATGTTACAAAAGGAAAAATGTTTTTGCCGCAAGTCATCAAATCTGCTCGGTAAATATACTTGGTATTTCTTTTTTGTTATTGACTTCATAGCCATTCAATTGTATTCGAAGCAAACAATAATATCTAATCGTTAATAATTTCATAGAGTTATGAAAAAAGCAGTCGCACATCTCATTCCATTCATGGAAATAGAAAGACAAGCAAAATTGGCCGCTGATCCTCAAGGCGAAGACATTGCTCCTCAGCATTCTGGTGTTGTTGTCTTGGCTACAGTAAAAGGTGACGTGCATGATATTGGAAAGAACATAGTTGGTGTTGTGCTTGGCTGCAATAATTACAAAGTGAGTGTGAATCATGAATTGATAATTCATTTATTTAATAACATGATAATTAATTAATTAATATATATATATATATATATTAATTAGGTAATTGACCTTGGTGTCATGACACCATGCGAAAAGATTATTGATACCGCACTTCAAGAAAAAGCGGATATTATTGGTTTATCTGGTTTAATTACCCCGTCTCTTGATGAAATGATTACTGTTGCTAAAGAGATGGAAAGACGCTCGTTAAAGGTTTGATAAATGTTACTCTATGTTTATCAATACATTTTGTTTTTTCCTAATCTGATGTATATTTTTCATAGGTTCCATTGCTGATTGGTGGAGCAACAACTTCCAAAGCTCACACCGCAGTCAAGATTTCACCTCAATATAGTCAACCAACCATACACGTGCTCGATGCCTCAAAAAGTGTCGTGGTGGTGAGTTCATGATTCAATTGATCAACAAAAAATCTGATGCGTCTATTCAATTATTATTATTCGATGAATCCCAAATCATATTAAATAAAAATTACAGGTATCGAATTTACTGGACAAAGGTTCGAAACAAGAATTTTGGGAGGACATTGCCGACGAATATGAAGAAATCCGCGAAGATCATTATTCGTCAGTACAAGACAAGAAATATCTGTCATTAACAGCTGCTCGAGAAAGTGGATATAAAATAAATTGGGCAGAGCAATCTCCTCCTGTGAGACCTGCGTTTATCGGGAAAAAGGTTTTCAAGGATTATGATTTACAAAGAATTTCAGAGTATATTGACTGGAATCCGTTTTTCCAAGTCTGGTTGGTTATTTTTATTTGATTTCACTTTTGAAGTAATCGATTACACAATGAATTCATTTATTATTTATTTATCATTTAGGCAATTAAGAGGCAGATATCCTAATCGTGGATTCCCAAAGATCTTTAATGACGAGCATGTTGGCAAGTATATTCTCGTTGAATTATTATTTGAATTACTAATAATTTCTAGTTTTTTGATATCTTTCTTTTCGTGGTTTCGGTAATTCTTGTATTTAGGAGCAGAAGCAAAAAAAATATATGATGAAGCTCAAGCCTTCATTGCGAAAATTATTGAGCAAAAGCTTTTTACTGCAAGAGGAATTGTTGGCATATATCCAGGTAATTTTTCGATTGATTTTAATATATTTAAAAATATGTGTGTAAAATACAATATTGGTGTTAAATTGATAATTTTTTAGCAAATAGCGTGGATGATGATATTCAGGTATATTGCTGCCTAATTGTATTTTTTCATTAAGTCGTATTATTAATAATAACTGTCGCCGATAATGTGTGTTAGTTGTATGAACATGAAAGCAGAGAAAAAGTGACTGCCACGTTCTTTGGACTAAGGTAATAATGAAATATATTATAATTATTAACAACCTTAACTATTAACATATATACTAAATGTGTAGACAACAATTCGAGAAAGAAACCAACGAACCATACTTTTGCCTATCAGACTTTATAGCACCAAAAGAATCCGGTATTCCCGATTACCTTGGAGTGATGGCCGTAGGAATTTTCGGTACAGAACAACTCTGCGAGAAATTCGAAAAAGAACATGACGATTACAGTGTCATAATGACAAAAGCAGTGGCTGATCGTTTTGCAGAAGCTTTCGCAGAAGTGCTTCATCAAGATATAAGGAGAGAATTGTGGGGATATGCGCCGAAAGAGCATCTTAATTTGAATGAATTGTTGTCAGTCAAGTATAAGGGAATACGACCTGCACCTGCGTATCCTTCGCAGCCTGATCATCGAGAAAAAGAGACAATTTGGAAATTGGCAGATGTAGAACAAGAGACGGGGATTCAGTTGACAGAATCTTATGCTATGTTACCTGCTGCTAGTGTTTCAGGTTGGTTATTTCAATATTAATTGATTTTAATTGAGAAAGAAAAGAATTAATCGAATTAAAATTTTTGATTGTCATCTTCTTAGCTTTGATTTTTGCAAACCCCGAATCACAGTACTTTGCCGTAGGCAAGATTGGAAAAGATCAGGTGCACTATCATTACTTTTGCTTGATTAATTTATAATATAGATTTACTCATTATGTTTTTCATTAATAGATACTAAGCTACACCAAGCGATCTGGTCGCAATCTCGAAGAAACAGAAAAATGGCTTCGTCCTATACTTAATTATGATTAACTTTTTTATTTCTATTTTTTATTAGAACAAAAGACAATTATTTTATTTACATCGATATCGAAAAATGATAATCTTTTAGATATTTATTTGCTTTTTTGGCCTTGTTTTGTATTATTTATTTATTCATTCATTTATTAAGCATTTGTCGAATATTACTTTCGACTTTAAGATAATTTGCAAGTTATCATTTTATAATTTCTTTAATTGTCACCCACGTTCTTCGTTAATCGCGATTAGAGTTGGACGCCAAAACCTATTTATCCAAGCCTAAAGATTTCGGGTTTCGCTTATTGCAAAATAAATCCTAAATTATTACCGAAACCCTAAACTATTGCCAAAATCCCAAATTATTGCCGAAACCCTAAATCAATGTCAAATCCTAAATTAATGATTGACATTCGGGCTATCCCAAATAAAAAATGGAATTTTGTGCTAGGAATTAGAATTCAAAGCAAAATAGTTGCCCAAAAATCCAATTGGGATTTGGGTTGCCCAGATTGACAATTGGGCTGATTGACAACAGCGATATCAAATATATATCTATTAGTATTAGCATTAGATCAGTAAAAAAATCACAGCGCATCTTTAAAATATATCAATATACATATTGATATTCATCACGCCCAATAATATGTTAAAATGTATTCTCAATAGCGATAGGATTTCTTCAGCCCCGCGAAATAATGACAATAGAATTCCAAGAAATTTTTGAAAAATTAGCGCTCGTGTCAGAAAACGACGATTTCGAAACTTTAAAATATAAATTCATTTTGTCGTCATTTATTTTTGGTTACGTTAATGATTATGTGACGGATTGGAAACGACTCTTACATAATGCGTACGAAAACAAGTATCATACTCACCTCAACCAAGAAAGGGTGAGTTTATATATTTGTTAAAATAGTAAATGTATCAAATGATGATAGTGAATTGGTCTAAGCCTTACTTTGCTGAAATCAAAAAGATCAAATAAGATCTATTTATGTTCCATAAGTATATCCTCGTCGGTTGCGTTGTATCAAATGCAATGCGTACTGGCCGGACTCTATATCCTCGTCAGTTGCGTTGCATCAGATATGATGCATATTGACTAAACTCTATTTGATGATATTATTATATTAATATGATTTTATATAATAATAACGATTACTTAAATTTTATTTTCAATAGAAAACGGATATTTCTGATACATATACTTTGTGGCAAAAATTTGATTTGGCGAAATCAGGCGAAGATATTGAAGGCTTTTTTAAATTTTTAAAAAAAGAAGCTATTAGATATAATTTGCAAAAGTGTTCAAATATGCATGGGATTAGATTAAACATTAATGAAACATTTAAAGAGATTTTGGAAGTAAGTTTATTAAATATTGTTTTTTTAATAATTAAAGTAAATTAAGTATTAACTTTAATAATTTTTTCTAGTTAAGTGTTAGTAATAATAATATTACAAAGGCCTTAAGTGATTGGGTTGAATTCGCCGACATTCAATTTGATGATGTAATTTTATCAGGTATATTCGATACAAGAACCATACCACATGCAATAAAAACAAATCTAAAACTAAGAGGGATTTGGGATTTATTCGATGAAAAAATCCCAATCCTGGAACTTCCTATTGAATTTGAGGAATTTATTGAGGGACTTGTAATAAATGATGATGACAGAATTCCTGCTAAGTATTATAGTAATGAAAATGCAAATTACAACAAATTAATGAGAGAAGAATATCGGGCTTTTATGATTTTGATTCGTAAAATGTTCGTATTATTTTTTTTTAAAAAATTCAATTAAAATTACAAAACTAATTTGTTTTTTTAAGAATGAAATTATGGGATAATCCTACCTACAAAAGCGAAGATATTATGAAAAGCACGTGGAATCATGATGCAGTGGGACCTATTATTGAATATATATTGGATAATATTTATCTTTATCAAAATTGGTATTTATTTATAAATTACATAATTGTTATACTTTTTAGAATATCTACTACATAATTCATTTGTAGGGAAACCAAAACTGTTGAATCATCACTTGTTTTACGAGGAATATCAAAAAAAAGTGACTTTCAAGGTTACAAGTCAAGCTTAATTAAAAAATCATATAAATATGAATTTATATTTGGAGAGACTTCGTATGATCTAAATCATTCCAATAGCAAAATTCACATATATAATGATCAAGTGAGATTAGCAAAATTTGGAAAAATTGCTTTCGAATCACTATTCAACTTTATCCCTGAAAGATTTCACAAACGTTTGGCAGAAGAAGTCAATATATTTTTAATTCAATCACACAGTAATGTTATTTATAAAATCTATTTTGCATATAATATATTATATACTAACTTGAATTATATTTTTGTTAGAATATTTTGTAACGCTTTCGCTTATGGATTATAAATTCTTCCCATTTGGTAGAATTCGAAGTCTGGAGAGTATATATGTACCTGTAGAAAGAAGCCCGAATTCATTAACATATATCAAGAAGATGTGCAGACTTTTATATAACTATCGTATATTTGTTAAAAAAACAGATCAAGTTATAGATAATCTCGACAAAGAATTAGCATCTTTAGGAGCTTACACTCCATCTATTCAAATTCGAACTGCAGTGCGAGTTTTTAAGACACCATAAGATTCATTAGAAAAGAAGATGGTAAAATATCACAAAGATTTAAAGTTATACACAATTAAAAATACAAAATCAAATTATCGTTATCTGTTTGCAAAATTAAATTTGGATAAAAGATTTTATATAATTAAATAGTAAATGTCAAAGTGTATATAGTAAATGTAAATGCCATTAGTGTAGCTAACAAGATCATGAATATATTGTCAATAGATCGCTGAAAATATTTTAATTATTATAAATGAATTTATTAAAATAGTATTAATAATATCAATATTAATAGCCTATAACTTATTATCAGTTTTTTATGACAAATACAACAAATATTAAAACATGTGTGATAGAACATGGATTGTCTTAAGATATGATATTGTGAAAATTCATACATAATGTTACAATTATATTATAAAAATTGTTAATTTTATAATTTGTAATATTTTACAAATTTATAAAAATCATGCGAAAAACTTGGAACATTTTACTTTATCTTATATTACTAAATTTTTATATTTTTATACTTTTCTATTTTTTTATATATAATTAATATCGATATAACAGACAATCAATATAATAGATTTGATTTATAATAAACTATTTTTCAGAATTAGCTATATAAATTTTGTTTGTTATAGTGAATTTGTTGATTTACCAGATAGCATAACAGGAATGAAAAGATCTGTTATATTAATATTAATTATATATTTATTTATTTTGAATAAATATATCTTAGCCAATTAAAAATCTTTGAAACTTATATTTATTTATTTATTTATTTTTCTTCTTTATTTTTTTACTTATCTTTTATATTTTTTTCTTGTTTTTAATATTATATCTGAATTTATAAAAAAATATATAAATACAAGTTGTAATTGAATCTTATCTCAACATATCAAAACTTAAAAATAAATAATATAATAAATAATACTTAAACAATTTATCTTCCTCTCTCAATTATATACTTCAAAACTTGTAAACAAGTAGCTTTAAATTATTTTGAGCTGACCAAAATATTGTTATTAAATTATTAAATTAATATTTGTTATTGATTAGTTTTTTGATATTTTTGTTATAATTAAATTGTTTAAAATTTCTCAACTAAAAACATTGTAATTTCTTTCTTGTGAGAAAAACAAAATAAAAGAATTTTTATTAATTAAAATATTTTGTTTAATAAATATAATTAATTAGAATACTATTTACAAATCAAATACTATTATCTTATTCTCTTTTATATTTGTTTTCCTTTCAAACTATAACAATTTCAGTAGAAGTTAATATAGGGTTTAGATATATTTTTTTATTATTCTTATATTTATTTAATTACTTCTTTCAATTTTAGTTCACATTTATTAGCTAATTACATAATTAGTGAAAAATAATCATTTCAAATAACTAAATATATTAATATTTTGATTTTTTAATATATTAATATTTTGATATATTAATCTTTGAATAAATTTATTTGTTGCATCCTGTTACATTTCATTTTTTTATGAATCATGTGATTTAGAATTATTACAATTTGATTGGCTAAACATATTAATATTTATAATATGATATCAATATATTTAATTTTATAATTATTTATATGGATCATTAATGCATGTACTATCTTGCCTCACAAAACCAAATGGTTAAATAATTTGTTAAAAAACATGATGTAACCCTTACAATTCATTTTCTCCTGAAGCCTGATGTCAATGCTTAGTACTTAAGTTAGGAAAAAAACAACTCGATTCAATAAAAAACTCATCAATCGCAGCCACACATTCCCATCTTTTTTGACTTCACCAATTCTTTTTTTTAGTGAGTTTGAAAGTCATTTTGATGACTCCTTGATCAATATGATGTGTAACTCTTACAATCCAATCATTTTCTCCCAAAGCCTGGTGTCAAAGATTTCAAAGATCAATACTTAAATTAGGAAAAAGAACCTAGTAGAGTCAATAAAAAAATTCGCCAATCGCAAATTCTTTTTTTCTAATGAGCAAAAGTCTGAAAGTCGTTTGATGGCTTCTTGATCAATACAATGTTGGTCAGAAGTTACTACAAAAGCATTGTGAAACCATCGTCGATTTTGGGCTTTATCTTTCCGAGTAGGATTACCTATGCATGGAAATAATATAAATAATTACATTGAACGAAGTTTCAGTATATTAAAAGATATTATTTTTGCGAGAACACAAACATATAATTCCGTACAAGTGATTTAGTTTGTAATTGGAAGCATGGAAAGGTTTTACAAGCGATGATTACTCAGAGTTGCACATAAGCATCCTGGACATTTACAAATTGCAAAACGCTTTTTGTGTCCTGGTTGGGAAACAGTGAATGCAAATTTTATTCGAAAAACGAGTATAAAAAATGAATTTTTAGTGCCAAGTACCCAGAATACTGATCTTTTCTACACCGTAAATAGTGAAATCGGAACTTGCACCTGCCCTGTTGGTATATTTGGTGCATCTTGTAAACATCAGGATGCAATTGCGATGAAATTTCATATCTCAATGTTTAATTTTATATCATCATTAACATTTAATGATCGGATGATCTATACTTATATTGCACTTGGTAAGTGAAATGGTGTTAAATAAGTTATCATGTTCTTAACTCACTATTTTTACTTGTTTAGGCTGTGTTACTGAAGATAATTTTTTTTATGCATCATTGCAAGCAGAACATTAAGTAGCTTTTATGATAGAGACTTCGGTGAAATCACTGAACAGAGGTTTGTATTCTCTTTGATTTGCAAATTTGACTCGGATAACTTTAAATAATTGTATAACTTTTTGTAGGGAGCTGAACCAAGAGAATGAAGAAATCAGCATTAATGCATTCAATATATTTTTAGAGGAAGTTAAAACAGACTATCAGAATGCTGATCAAAAGTTACATACTGCATTCGACAAGTTTATGAAACGTTATAATACAGCAAAATCAAAATCCATCCCTCGATTATCTTCCTTTCTTTACGATCTTAATCGTATTTAGATCCAGTAATTCGTGTTAAAAGTGATGCACACATACGGGTTTAGGTTGAATCCATTAAAAGACGTAAAATGGAAGGGTCTGGTAGTGCCAAGCGAAAATTACCTGTTTTTGCAAGTAAGGGAAAGGAAAATTTGGATCCTCAGATTATTCCTTGCCGAAAAAAAAAGAAAATGGGGAAACAAGATCATAATTTAAACAAAAATGTATCAAAAAATCAACTGAATTGAATGGTTATACTGAAAGCTTTAATTCGAATTTTTAGGATATTTTGGATCATTTAAAAAATGATCATTTTGTAGTTCACTTTTTATTACAATCTTAATTTTTGGATCGATATAGTTGTTTGAGAATTCAAGGCAAACATAAACATTATAGATTGTTTGCGTTTTCTTTAGATATTTTTTTGAGTTTTCTTTAAATATTGTTAAACATTATTGAACATTTAATAATTATAATTAATTGTACTGTACAGTTAAAACATTATTAAACATTTAATAATTATAATTAGCTGAACTGCATCTAATAACTTGCCTTGTTATGACAAGAAACAAGAATTGCGGGAACTTGCAAGAGAACTTGAAAGAATGAACGTGAAACAAAATTGCTTGGTTGGTTTAATTGTTAATATTAAAGCTGAGGATAAATGCGTCCAACTCAAAATTCAGAACCTCAAAATTCTGTGTTCGGTATGGTGATAGCTCATTAAAATGTTTGATTAAATATGTATAATGCTGAGGAAGAACCAGTTTTAATAGTTTGGGTAAGGAATTCTAAGCGAAGACCTAAAACTTAATGTTTTATTAATTTTATTATCATTATGAAACAGAATTTATATAAAAAGTTGGTTCAACAAACCTGTGGGATAGCAATGTCCATGTCTTGTGCATTGTTATCTTCCATACGTAAAGGCAAAGGAAATAAAATTCAACTAACCAAGAACCTAAAAAAAAGCGGTAGTATTATTTATGTATATATATGTATGTATATATACAATGCCACTGAGGGTACAGTCAGTCAGATAGTTGACAGCTGCGGCACCAACCTGGTACACATTCCAGATGTGCGTATATATATATGTATATATATATGTATATGTATATATATGTATACGTATATATATGTATACGTATATATATATATCGATATGTATATATATATATATATATACAATGTCACTGGGGGTACAGTCAGTCAGATAGTTGACAGCTGCGGCATCAACCTGGCACACATTCCAGATGTGCTTTGACATTTATTGGTGACGTAATGAACTCTATATAATAGGGTATTACTGAGTAAGCCTATAAAAAAATTTATTCTCTTAGGATTTCTTCAACTTTCTCCCCTAAGTTTCAACTTCGCAAAATAATGGTTATTTATTTTGCTTACGTTAATGATTACGTGACAGATTGGAAATAACTCTTACGAAAACAACTTGACAAAAAAAGGGTAAGAATTTATATATTTGTTAAAATTAGTAAATGTATCAAATGATGACAGTGAATTGGTCCAAGTCTTTGGTATATCCTTGTTGGTTGCAAACACAACGCGCGAACTGGTCGGGCTCTATATGTCCTCGTTGATTGCATTATGTCATACGCGGTGCATCTGGCCGGGCTCTATATATCCTCGTTGGTTGCATTGTATCAAACGTGTACTGGTCAGGCTTACATATCCTCGTTGGTTCCATTGTGTCATATGCAATGCGTACTGGTCGGTGCTCTGTGTAACCTCGTCGGTTGCGTTTGACCAAATGCAATGCGTACTGGCCGGGCTCTATATATACTCGTCGGTTGCATTATATCAGCGCGTACTGGCCGGGCTCTATATATCCTCGTCGGTTACATTGTATCAAACGCGTACTGACCGGGCTCTATATCCTCGTCGGTTGCATTGTATCAAATGCAATGTGTACTGGCCGGGCTCTATATATCCTTGTCGATTATGTTGTATCAAACGCAATGCGTACTGGCCGGGCTCTATATATCCTCGTCTGTTGCATGGTATCAAACGTGTACTGGCCGGGCTCTATATTTCCTCGTCGGTTGCATTGTATCAAACGCAATGCGTACTGATCGGGATCTATAATCCTCGTCGGTTGCGTAGTATCGAACGCAATGCATACTGGCTGGACTATATATATCTTCATCAGTTACGTTGCATCAAATATGATGCATATGACCAAACTCTATTTTGATGATATTATTATAATAATAATGATTTTATTTAATAAATAATGATTACTTAAATTTTAAAGTTTATTTTTAATAGAAAACGGATATTCTTGATAGATTCAGATCGTGATGCCAGAGATTCATTTTCTTGATGATGAAGATGAGAAAAATGATGGTGATGAAGAAGATGAGGAAGATGATGGTGCTGATGAAGAAGTACTTCACTATCATCTTTGAGAGAAACATCTTCCCAGCTGTAAAGAGGATGATGTTGTTCCACTTCTTCATTATAATAGTAACCAGGGTAATAGCGAGGATAATCTTCTTCTACTTGAGGTAGATTTATTTTCTTTTCATCATTATCTTCTTCAACAAGTTCTTCTTCTATTTGTTGATAAGGTATTTTCCAGCCTTTTCTTCCATCTAGAGGCAAATCTTCTTCATTATGACAGAAAATTTTCTTTTCATCAAGTTAACGTAAATCTTCAATTTTATCTTCGTCTTCATCTAATGATATCACAGAGATTTAGTTGTACCTGTAATTTCTAATGAGAAAACTTTGTGCTCACATTTTAATAGTTTGCAT